CCCCGACCGGGTTACCCAGGATAATTGCGAGAATCTTGATGTCGAGAGAAAAATCTACATGTATCGTTTAAAACTCATACATATCAAATCGATGCGCAGCATCTATACATAGATACATTTAGCCTTATTAATCGATTAAATCGATGATATGAAGTTGGCCGGAAGACTACGTGAGACCGCGTTTTGCGTGAGACCGTTTTTTCGTCGGGGATTTTTTCTTTTATCATTCGTATTTAGTTAATACTGCGTTTTTCGGAGACTATGAATGCACTACTTTTGGTCACTTTTTACGAGGAATCGATTTACCGAATCAGAATTACCGTATGTTTTATAGATTTCAAATAATAACGTTAGGTTGTTTTCGCGGGTCCCGAAATCGCAATTCTCGCGTATATGAGGAGCGTGGAGTGACGCTGCTCTCGTCTGCCATATTTGCCATTCGGAGCGCGACACGCGCTCCTCGATTTATCATCTTTGAACATAAAGAAATATTTACTCGAATAAATAATTCCTCAAGAGAATCAATTTCATTGTTCACACGCGTGAAACTTGAAAAAAGGTTTATTTGTTCAATATGGGATACTTAGTTTAACCAGTTGTATATTTATTGAAATCGATGCGATTTTTATTCACTAGTTATTATGAAAATTTTTTATTTGATTGAAAGAATCAAACAAATGGTCAGCTCAACCAAATGGACTTTATATACATTTACACACGACACATTTTTTAACGAGAAAAGTATCTCGAGCTTCTTCACTCGCTGCTTCTTCAACTTCATTTAAAGGTTGCTGATTTATAATCTCTTCGATTTCTGTGATGGTGAGTAGGTTTTCAGGCTTTGAGACACGCTCTAAAACGTCGTCTTCTAATTGAATGCCTTCGAAACCTTTGTTTACATATTTCTGCTATTGAGTTTCTGTACGAGTAATCTTTTACGAAAGTAATATTGAAACTGCATACGCGAATACGAAGGGATAGCCACATTTACAAAATCGCGAATAAGCGAAATCCGCGAATACGGAGGGATGCCTGTATTAAAAAACAGAAAAATTGTCGAAAATTCAATGTGGTTTTCAAAAATAACGAATAAAATGAGCCGTGCAACGACAATAGTTCTCGCTACGAAAAGTCTCGAAATCGTTGAAAAGCTCCCCCTCGCCTGCGCCTAGATGGCGTTCGACGTACCCCCAAACGGTAACGATAGTTCGAATTACTATATAAGATTTCTCCGTCCGTTCGAATTACATTTATTACATTTTTTTTATCTCTCTTTACCAGACACCTTCTTCTCGGAAGGGTCTGCAGGGAGCTTGGAGCCCGTGCGCAGGAAGAGTTAACTACCCCCCTTCCTACTGTCTCGCATTTGCCCCAGGCCCAAAGACCTGTGGGGCAGGGAAAACCTGGGGGTACACGTAGTGCATATGCACTACACCCTGGCCTTTTCGCGGGAATTACCGAACTGAGAGTACTGGCAAATTAGATTTTGTATTATAAAAAAAGAAAATATTGTATTTGAAATTCAGCGTGGACGCAATCGATGCTTCGTAACTGACATACAATTCGACTCGATACCATTACGCGGCGCATATACAAATTGTAATCGTGCGCTTATATATGCTACGTACGAGCGACGTATACACGATTCGATCAATGCGTGCCCGAGACCTTGGAAGAAACTCCGTCGACGAAGCTATCATTCGTCCAGAATTATTTTTGGCGCACGCGTTAATAAGCGCGCCAAGTGCAGCGCGTATATATATAATGTATAAAATCGGCGCAAGCTCGATAAGAAAAAAAATAAATAAATAAAAAAATAAAGAAAATAAAAAATCGGTACACCGCAGCTGCTTCGTCGTTAATTACCGCACGCGCGAGTAACTCGATATTCGAGCTTGCATCTATTTTATACGAACGGCGATCGATCGGCGCAATTAATTGACTCGCGTCATATGCTGCTGCTGCTGCTGGTGTATACGCCCATTTAAAAGACTTTCAAGACTATTAAAGCTTAAGAAAGAGAGAGAGAGAGAGAGACATGGTAGGTGGACGTCGAGACAAAAGAAAAATATGACATATATCACCACTTTGATGCACTAATCAGCCAAAGTGTGCCTCTCTCTGTATGCGTTGTTTCGGAGCATGGCATTATAACAACAATATAGAATAAATGGCGCGCGGTGGCGGCACGCAGGCGAGAGCCGACGACGACGACTTGCGTTGCAGAGTTGTGCCCTCGTGTATACTGCGTCTTTCTCTTTCTCTCTTTTTCTCGAACGTTAAATACATCTTTTACCGTGTGTATATATATATATATATATACTGGCCGTACGCCTCGACGAGCTCTTTGTTACGATATATGCGCAATTATTTCGGTCGAAGAAAGAAAGAAAGAGAGAGAGCAGATTTTGGCGTCTTTTGCCGGTTCGCCAATACGATATAGGCTAAAAAACTACCACTACCAACGACTACAGACGCAAACACACATACACACACACACACACAGACACACAAACGCTTGTACGTATATATATATTGCTTTATAATAGACCGTGTGCACCGCCTCGTCTTCGTCGTCGTCGGCTCTCGCTCGAGAGCGAACGCGCCGCGATCCGTATAGTATATGTGTAACGCAACATGAGCTTCGCACGAATACGTGTGTGCGTGTGTGTCTCTCGCGAAAGCTTTAAATAGGACCGGTTGAAGCAACCGTAGACTCAGTCGTGTCTTATACGTGCGCTTTTTCTCGATACACACTGTGTACTCCGCTGCAGCAGCAGCAGCAGCAGCAGCATATCAGCATCGGCATCCCTCGGCAGAGCCGATCTTGCGGTAATTTCGATATACGCGCGAGTGAGTTTTTTTTTTCAGCTTCAATAGAGAGGGATATAGAAAAGCTCCGAGGTGCTGATACGATATTGAATTTGTGCGTTACGTGTTTGGTGCGTGAAAAAAAAATAAATAAATAAATAAATAAAGAAAGAAGCAGAAGTGTCATATATCGTGCTTGTGACAGTTGTTCGTGGGCGCGCGCGCGCACAAGTGTGTAAAATATTTCCCTCGGTAGTTCCGAAGATAATAAATCCAAAAAGTACACACGCACGAGTTAATAATGCTGGAACATCGCACGATTTTCGACGTAAGTTTACCAAAGATTATACAACGTATTCGCGGATCGGATGAAAGCTCGACTCGACCGCGCGCATACGTATACGTACACGAGTGCGTAGCGAAATTTCCGATCGTCCGATCATGATATAATGTTTTTGTGTATTGTAGAGAATCTCATGGTTCGCGGAGATGCACGACTCAAACGATATATAGCCACGATTACCGAAGCTTATCGTTATGATATATCTTGCAATTGTCTTGTAAGCATTCCTATATATGCCAAGAACATAGTTAATTTTTACTATATGTAGTCGTAACGTAATTCTGCTTTTTAATGAAAATCATCGCGTTTCGACTGTGCGGAAAAATTTTCTCGCGACGAATGTGTGGCATATTTTCTATATACCGCATACGATATAACGTAGGCCCGATGCACGAAACACGATCCAATTAATTAGGCCATCGTCGCCTCGTGCGTGCGTGCGCGCGCGAGCGAGCTAAGCAAATTTTGACACGATTGTCTCGACGCGAGCTCGAGTCTTGTGATGTATCTTCCAACGCATTGGTGTAAATCGACGCGTCGTCGTTCGATTCAACTTTTTTCATTTTTCTTCCGATATGGATATGGTTAACTTGTAACGTCGCTTTTCTTATACGATACTCGATGGGAGCTTGACCATTATTATTATTATTATTATTACTACTACAACTATTAAACTACTATTCCTAATTTTTTTTTTCGAGTTATTTTAATTTTACCGCGTGCGCAGCTCTATGAGCGATCGCGCGATTATACATAATGAGGCAAGAGCCCCGCAGATACTCTCGCGTCGGGGGCCAATAATAACAGTGCCATTTAACGCGCGCCGCCGTACTTTTCTCTTTCTTTCTCTCTCTCTCTCTCGGCTCGGCTCGGGGTGTATTATACTACGTTTCCTTCGAGATTCGACCACTTCGTATTATAGCCAAAGCCGACTACTTTTTCATTGGTTTTTAATGGCAGTCTCCTTCTCTCTCTCTCTCTCTCTCTCTCTCTCTCTCTCGAACGTATGAACGAAGTATAACGTAGAAAACGAAACATTTTTTTTGCAGTTCGAGCAAGAACAAAAATGAAAAAAAAAAAACAACGACGGCGCAGTACAGCTCTACATAATGCAGCAACAAATTTTATATATACGTATACGTATAAACGCTCTCTCGCGTATACGCACGTGCCACTCAAGGCAGCTGAGTCGCGAGCCAAAAACTCTGGAACATATAATATACGACGCGGGCGACTTTTGCGCCGTAGCGCGCGCAGCTTATAACGCGTTCGCGCGATGATCTTGACAATGAAAACTTTGCACGTGATCTCGAAAAACATTATCATTATTATTATTGTACTTGTAATATTTTCTGTTTCTATTCGGAATAATAAAGTGTGTGTGTGTGTGTGTGTGTGTGTGTGTGTGTGTGGGTGTTCGCGAGTAAACCCCTCGCGAGTGCTAAGGTAAATAAACACGTAGTGGAAAGCCGCTTCGCGCAAAATTCGGTCTCGATTCTCGCGCTATCTCGCTTTTTTTTTTATACGTTCCAATAAACGTGCGCATTCGAAACGCAAGAGGAAGAAACGATCTCCCGCGCGCACATTGTTGCGCATCGTCGTCGCGCGAATTTACGTCGTGTCTCGGGGCTCTTCAACTCGGATGTTATATCGCGCTTGGCGCGCGAGCTTTGCGCGTCACTTTTTTTTTCGGGCGCTCGAGCTTCGTGCGCAGTGCGTTTATCGTACGCATATAATACTCGCGCTAAACGTTCGAGAGTTTTGATTTTATTTCTGGTATATTCGAGCTCGAAAACTGCCAAGTTCGCGACGCGCGCGTACATACGTTTACCGTGTATTGCGTTATATATATTAATCGGGAGCTTGCGCGCGCAGAGCTTGCGACGCGTGTCATCGCGATCCGCGCCTCACGAAAGAGAAGGAAAATCATATAGTTTCTTTGTTTACGAGTGCACTTTCGTTTCTTCTTGCATTTTTTTCCCTTTTTTTTCGAAGAGGAAGTGCTCTGCCAGGAAGTATCCTTTTTCTTTCTTTTCTTTCGCTCAGTCGTTGTTGATACGCGCGTTTCGTATATGGTTGATTCTCCTGAAATCTGCTTTTTGCATGTCTTTATGCCATATTCTTAAACTAGTGAAGATGAGCCAAAACTGGCTCGGTCATTCATTCAATATTGTTGTATTCTTCATGATAGGACATAAATATTTCAATTTTTTAGGGTCAGTTAAATTTGCCGTGAAGATATACATGCCAAATGTCACCTCCGTGGCATGTCTACATCTCAAAATCAACTCTATTTGCATGTACCATGCATTCTCATTAGCACCTGACCCTATAATAACTATGAGACCAGCTTCTATACATCCAGAGTAAAGTTTAAGTCTATTATAGGGCTTTGAAAAATGTTTTAAAAAAATTTCCCACGCAATTGAAAAATGTCTCGGATTTTAATCATGCTTCTGAATAATTTCAAACATACCGCCTGCTTTGGGTCGCTAACTCATTTTTGATGTCGCTAGATACGTAAATGTCAAGTATTATAGCCCAGCTTTCGATTGGTGTAGGTTGCGGGTTCAAATTTTACATTTTATCGATGCTGCGATAATTATTCTATTGAAAAATTCACGTGTGTCAAAAAAACGGTCACCTCCGTGGACATGAATATCTCGAGCTATGATCATTCTTTTTAACCGCTCGCCCCGTCAAAAGACTCGTTTTTCATGACCAAATTTCGGGTTGTGCGGAAAATTTTGTGCGTTTCTTATTTTTCTTACATAGTTGATCAAAGCAGCGATTTGTCACCTCCGTGTGTGTCACCTCCGTAACCGAAAATAGTCGATTTTAAGCATAAAATCGGACATAGTTTTCGTAAAACGAAATCTCAAAGCCCCAGATTCAATAATTATTCATATTTTATGGTTTAAAAAAGGGTAAACTAGTTCGCGCCGTTCAATATGACAAAAAAATTTTCACCATTTTTTCGTTTTCCATACCCGAAAAAGCAGATTTCGGGAGAATCAACCATATACGCAGCTCCCCCCGCGTGTTCTACGAATTTTCAAAGAGTTTGTTATCTTGGCTCGCGTTCAAAAGTTGAAAATTTCCAGTAACTGCTCTGCGTTTCGTGCACGTTTTACACTTGTACGCGCTGTACACGAGAGCCTCTTTTATTTTTAACATATATATAGATAAGAGCTCTGCCGCTGAGAGACAATGAAGCGCGCGTCGTGCAATTAACGTTCAAAAATATTCTCGTCCATTATTTCTATAACCAGCGCGCCGCCCCATGTGCGTCGATCGCACAAAGGAGACGATGAAAAAGCATGTATACGGTCCCACTTAAAACACAAAAATTTTCTTACTCTGCATTTCAGTTTTGAAAGAGCAACGAGTTGGCGTGCGTGTCGCTAATTAGTCGAGGCGAAAAATTCTCATTTAGGAGATTGCGCAGTTTCGGGTAAACGCAGATATATATTACGAATCGATTGCGCCGATTCGTGCGACGAGAGTCCAGAAAAGTGCGTATTTTTCAAGTTTATCATATATATTTGTTACAATCGTGTGCGTGTGTTATCAACTGTATATTCATGGCACACGAATTGTCAGTATAACGATGCATCCCTCTCTTGGCTTGGTGCACGTTAATTCTTCATCGCCACGCTTTCTTCTCATTGTAACGTACTATCACGATAAAAAAAAACCCAGACCTATCTTGAATTGCAACATCCCGTTATATCACCATAGTGTATAAGTCTTTTATATGCCCTGCACCCGCGAAACATATATCTTCACCCGCACATACCGATTTCTATCGTACATATACGAGTATACAGTGCAAAATTTGGCGCAATTTCATCTCGCTATAACAATAACAACAACGATAATAGGCGCACTTTATATCATGCATTATGCGTATATAACGCGACACAATAACGAAGCGCTACGGAAACGCATTGCCGATTTTTTTCCAATCAAAACGATCTCGACGAGACAGGAAGAAACATATCACAAAGCGGTAAACGATCGGCGATTTTTAATCGATCGAATTCGTTCGTTTGACATATACACAACATCTCGGCGCACACGCGACGGAAAAGTAAGGTGGAGCCGCGCCAACAATTGCGATCCCTCGCGCACGCGATATACTTATACGTACGTGTATTTACATACGCAGTCGCTGCGAGCTGCTCTTCGTATACAATCTTCGCCGATCGCTCTATTTTAAACCCGCTCTTTGTCGTGCGCTCGTGTATTATCGTCGTTTGCAGTTTCGTACACCTGCGATCTCGCACGCAGCAGCAGTCGCGCGTTTGACATTTAAACATCAGCACGGGCTGATCGCTCGAAAGAGTCTCGCTCTCCGCGCGTCACGTTAGATATATACAATAATAAATAACGAAGTGCATAATATATACAAAATGTCAGAAGTCGAAGCTAGTGACCGTTCGGTCGGTGGGATGATAATCGTGTGTGAACTCGCTATTAGTATCGCTGTGCATGCATAATTTTTTATTATCATGCGCGACGACGACGCACGTGCGTTGCGATCGTGAACATATGTTTTGTGCCTTTGTCCTCTTATAGTGTGTGCTGTTTTAGCGTTATATTATCGTTAACAATTACATACGACATTGTGTATAGTCAAAACAAAATGTTTCAATACATCCTCGCCATTGCTGGTAAATACATGCAAAAGTTCTGTCATGCATGCGTGTCGAATACGGTATGTCTTACCTCCTCTCTATATATATACACTCGATCAAGCTCGAATCGTTGCTTCGCTCGCACGTTGTACATCTTCATTATTAGACGTCGAAGTATAAATATATAATTCATACATAACGGTACATTGCCGATTTCGTAACCGATTTTTGCGTAACGTTTTCTCTCTTCCTTATAACCACCGTTCTATATATATATACAATAAAATAATTGTTATGTACTCAGATGCCGTCCGAGTGCATAGCCAATCCGCTTCAGCGCGAGCTCGCCGACTCGATAATACGTCTGCAGTCGCTGGACGAGCTGCGCATACTGCTGGCGTGCGGCGCCAAGCCCAACGAGCCCGTCACGCAGGGCCTGAGGCCCCTGCACTACGCCGTCTGGCAGCGCTACGAGGACGCGGCCCAGCTGCTGCTGGTGCGCGGTGCCGAGATCGACGCCACCGACGAGTGCGGCTACTCGGCCCTGCATCTCGCCGCCGAGCACGGCTACCTGGACCTGGTGAAGCTGCTGCTCAAGCACGGCGCCAAGGTCGATCACAGGCAGGACACCGGCGAGCTGTTTCCAAGGTGAGTTTATGATCGCGGACACTCATTTCTCATTTTTTTTTTCCAATGCTTTTTTATTATTGTCTTTATAGTTTTGTAAGTTTTTTTTTTGTGGAATTGACTGAATATAGTGAACCGAGGGAGAAATTAAAGGATGATGTTAGTTTTGAGTGATTGTTCATTATACCTTCATTGAAATGTTGAACGTTAATTATGAATTAGAAACCATTTAAAATATTGTGAAGTACATAATAATTATAATTGTCTTGTTTTAGTCGATTTATCTGTTTACAATTGTGTTACAAATATTTTTATAGTTACCTGACAATGTCAATTTGATTGTTAAAATAAAAATTAAGACCAGTTTTCGACCACTTTTAATACGATAATAGAACTTTTAGTCTTCACCGCTAGATGGCGAGTACCCCTTGATCTGCCAATCTGCAAGTGGCAAAGTGAAGATAATTGTATAAGTCACAGCACGGTTTTGCAGCATCTTGGTCTAAACATTTATTAAGTTTCTTTTTTTCTTTCAAAATAATGATGGACTTGAAAGTGAAGCCATTTAAAGTGATACTACAACTAGCCAAATAAAGCGATGAGCATTTCTATTGGAAAAAATATAGAATCAAACGAATTCCCTTTAACTTTTCTCTCGTACGCGCTGTTGATTTTGTTTCCTGACCCCTCCAAAAAAAAAAAAAACAAAAAAAATTGCAGGACTCTGCTGTGCGACGAGCCGCTGCGTCTGGCGCTGCGCAATCATCATCTGGACGTGGCCCGTACCCTGCTCGAGCACGGCGCCAACTCGAACAAGCGCTACTTCTTCGGCTCGGAGATCAATCTGATCTCGCCGCTGGACCTCGACTGCATGGCCCTGGTGCTGGCCTTCGGCGCCGATCCGAACTCGCGCGATCGCGCCGGACTCACGCCCCTCATGAAGGCCGTGAGACTGCCCCAGGTAAAGTATATGTCCCCGTATATATTATGTTTCTCATAATACTCATCGCATCGACGACGTTAGATAATGGTAGTGATCGGTCATTTATACACACAATATTTTTGAACAAAATTTTGACAAATGAAGTTTCTGGTGTACATGTATGTAGAAGGTATTAGCGTTCGAAAAGTGGTACCGCAACGTGTTCACCCTCGCGGGCGGACCGGGCGACCTGTTCAGCGGCGCGGCTGCGGCTGCTGCGGCGGGTCAGGAAGATGCGGAAGTCGTCGTCAGCTCCACCCAAGCGTCGTCGTCGTCGTCGTCGTCGTCGCAGACGAACAATAACGTCGGCTTGCATCGGCGCAGGGGAGAAGGTCGCGTCTCGGAATTAGGAAGTGTTATAATTAATTGATTATTGTGCATTATATCATTGCGTGTGGACGTGCATTGCATATATAGATCCATCTGTTGATTGTTTGTTGTTGTTGTTGTGCAAAAATGTGTATCGAGTGCATTGGGTTTACCGCTCGCTGCATGATTTATCTTTCAATCGTTTAAAAAACCGATCATCCATTATCACGTCACACAAGTTGATGAAAAAAGATATATAGACAAATAGATGAATAATAATGATAAAAAGTAACCCAAAAACCCGTTTTACATCGCGTCGATTTTTTTATTTTTCACACACGCACAAAACAGGGCATGCAGTCGGTGCTGCTGCTGCTGAACTACGGGGCGGACGTGAACGCGCGCGCCGACGCTCGCAACGAGTTTCGCAGCGTGCTGCATTACGCCGTGATCGGCGGCGACAAGGCCGTGATCAATCTGCTGCTGAAGCAGGGCGCCAGGCTGAATCTCGAGCCCGAGTACACGAAGCCGCGGGCCCTGGACATGGCCGTGCTCAAGGGCGATCCGGAGATCGTCAAGCTGCTGCTGGATGCGGGTAAATATATATACGAGCAAAATTTTTGGCATCACATTGAGCTTCGTTTTAATCCGATGATAATATGGAGTAGCCCGCGTTTGTCGCCAATTTAAATGGAAAGTCGAGTTAAGAGCATATATGTACAATTTTGATTAAAAGATCCATTTGATCTAGATACTTTTGGACCAGTTCTTATATAGGATTTTATATCAGTTCTTAACTTGGGTAAAAACTTTTACAGTTGACAAAAACACGTACGATTTTATCCAAGATCTTGAGCGAATTCTTGACAAGAATATACGTGAGATATCTTATGTAGGATCTTGAGTATGATTTTTGAAAATATAAGTTTTTTTGTAAGAGCTGGTTTAACTCGAAAGCTCTAACAAGGAACCAGTTCAACTCTTGCTGACGAATATTTTCAAAAATTTATTGTGGTTCCCTATACGGTACATAATAATACAAGCGTAGCTTAAGGGGACACACCTGTGTTTATACCTATAAATGAAAAACATGAAAAATAAGGATTACAATTACAATTTTTTTTTTCTGATGTAAAACTATCTTTTACAGCAAAAAATATGTCTGTAGTTCTTCTTATTATTGAAAATTATCCATCAAACACGTATACTGACTTGTGATTTCTAAGTTATTGACCGCATGATTTTGAATGCAATTTTTCACCAATCCGGATCCTTGCTCTCTCAAAAGTTTTGTAATAAAATTCTTTTCCACTTAAGTGTAACAGAATTTAAATAAAAGGCTTGAAAATTTTTTTTCATTCTAAAGTACAAAAAAAATGACAAAAATAACTATTTGAATAACGCTTATTGCTACATTTGGAGATTAGTAGATTAAATAAATAACTAAATAAAAAATCTGCTACACTTGAGTGGAAAAGAATTTTATTAGAAAACTTTCGAGACAGCAGGAATCTGGATTGGTGAAAAATTACATTCAAAATCATGGGGTCAATGACTTAGAAATCACAAGTCAATGTACATGTTTGATTTTTTTGTTATAAAAGAACCTATAAAACATATTTTTACATGAGAAACAAAAAATTTTAATAGTAATCCTTAATTTTCATGTTTTTCGTGTATAGGCATAAACACAGGTGTGTCCCCTTAAAAGCGTTTCCTATTTTGTTTAAAAAATCTTTGCGATATGTATATTTTTGGGAAGATTTGCCACCCAGAGCTGAGGTGGTTTCCTCGCGAGCAAAGGAAATTTTTCTCGAGAAAGAATTAAAGGAGTAATTTATATAATAGCTTACTCAAAGTCTTGGGTAAAATCTTGCATAAAAGAGGCAATTGAAATTAGACTGATTTCGTGGGAAATAGCTTAAGAGCTTTTACAATCGATCGACGAATTCAAAATCTTACGTAATATCTTATGCACGTCTACGTCAAGAACTTTAAACGAGATTAATTTGTTTTTTTCTTCTCCCCCTACGATCGCAGGTGCCGACGTCAACACGAACTCGGCGATCATCGGCACGCCGCTGCACGTCGCCTGCGCCGAGAGCATACCCAATCGCTACGAGGTGCTGGAGCTGCTGCTCGAGCGGGGCGCCGATCCGAATCGCGTCGTCGCCTCGGAGGCGGGCGGCACCCTGCTCAGGCCCGCCCTGGCCGAGTACGTCGGTGCCAACGCGCAGCCGGATCTGCGCGTGATCGGCCTGCTGCTGCGCCACGGCGCCCGGGTCCTGATCAAGTCGCACTTTCGCGAGCCCCTCGGCATGCTGCAGCACATGCAGGGCCTGGAGCGGGCGCCCCGCGTGCTGGCGGCCCTCCTCGACGCCGCCGAGTCCGTCGATCTGGCCGCGGTGGCGCGCACCCAGTGCCTCACCGAGCTGCAGAAGCGCGCCTGCAGGGACGCCGCGGGTGGCGGCCGACCCCTGAGCCTGGTGAAGCAGGCCCGACTGGCGCTGAGGCGGCTGCACGGCGGCCAGTTGGCGGCCTGGGCCTCGCGCCAGACCATGCCCAAGACGCTGAGGAGCTATCTGCTCTACGAGTACGCGCCGAATTGACGAGAGAGAGAGAGAGAGAGAGAGAGCGAAACGACGGATTGAGGCGACCACTGCGTGTACGACGTGGATTATAATTTTTAAGATAGACGATAGTGCCGCGCGACCTCGAGTGCTGATTTTCAAGTACTCGAAGGTAGACAATTGTGATATGTTGTAATCTCTCGATAACGATTTTGTCGACTGTATAATCATTAATAATTCATGTTTGTATGAAAAAAGAAAGAAAAGGAAAATTTAGCGAGTAAGTTTTTAAAGAAAAAAAATGAGGAAAGCCAGTGTTTTTATATTAAAAAATATTTTTTACATATATTCTCGTGTATGTTGATATGTATAACGGTTCATATGAAAATCTGATTACGATTTGTTTCGAGACGACGTCTAGGGTCCTATCACGCGACAATTGTATATATTATTATTATTAATATTAATATTATTATTATTGTTATTGTTATTATTATTATATCATAGTTTTAATGTTAAAAACGATGTTTACGAGAGATCGTCAAATACAAACGATTGTTTCGTACGTTGAAGAAGTATTTGACTTTGAATAAAAATTTCGTGAACCCAACTCATCGTGCCTACGTTTTATATACTCAATTATGTACTGACTCAATCGTCACTCATTCGAATCCTTGCCTATCGATTTTTAAATGGATTGCACTTAGATTCATCGCTTGTGCCTTTAATTGTCCCGATCTATGTTACTTTGTATGAGGCTTTTTGAAAAGTGTCGAACAGAGCCGTTTATCGATCAGTGTTGGTATCGATCGGTATACGTAATACCTCCAAAGGACTTCAATAAAATAATACTCGAATCTTCTATTGGTCCGATGATCGGATAAACAAATGCTCAATGTTCCATTCGAATCGGTGCAAGTCACTCATTGAAAATCTTTGACGCATTAGTTGATACCATGTTTTTCTTGTTCTAACTATTGTTAAATTCTTGTTCTAATTATTGTTCAAAAAAATAATTTGAAGACCTCTTGATTCCCTCCGTTTTTTCGTTCAAGTCGTTGTTATTCGAGTGAAAACATAGTTATGACTCATTAAGGTAAACAATTTTTTTCGCTAAACATTCAGTGAAAAGCCTATATGGTCCAGCCATCTGCTTCTTCAAAGCTTATATAAATATAGGACTCGATGAACCCAACCCATCAAATCCAAACTATCAGGGAAAGTAGCCCCTATTATTTGCAGCTGGTAGTGTATTTGTGACTCTCTCCCTCCCACACATGTTAGTGGCCGCATTTATATACACATAAGACAATATCCCTCGCTACAATATAGCTTCCCCCAACGCCTATACGTGCTCGGATCGAAGTTTATGCGAATACAGTCAGTAGTAGTTACGGAGCCGCAGCGAAGAGAACAAAAAAAATATTACATTGACATATCGACTCCAGCAGCGACAAAAAGTGAAAATTATTTAATATTTTAAGTCTTAAGCGATTGAGTTTACGCGAAAGTGTGTGAGACGATGGGCAACGTGAAACTTGCAATTTTGAGCTGGAATTTGAAAATTTGTCGAGAAAAAGTCGATTCGGAGATCAAAGAAGAACTGCCCCTACTTCTCGATAAACTTGACACTTTAATCCAAGAATGGCAGGGTGAATTACCAGATCTCGGCAATTTTTTTCGCCGCGAAGATATCGACTGGCTTCTCACGCAGGCTGCGATGAAAGTAAACATTTCAAACTCACAACGTGATCAAGGAAAAAGAATTATGGGCTTCGTGGCTCGCAGCGGCTACAAAGACGAACCCGACCTGGATAAATACGGCAAGCCAATTTTGCGTCGCACCACTGCTCTGCATTATTTTGCTTCACCACGTTGTCATTATCCCAACAATTACAATACCAGCATGAGTGACTTATTTCAAATTTACGACCGGTTTGACGTAAATTACACCGACGAGTCGGGCTGCACTCATTTCCATGTTGCCTGTAGGTTTGACTTTTCCGATATCGTCAAAAAATTTCTAGAGCTCGGCCAAGATCCTAATCTCCTTTGGAAAGAAACAGGCGATTCGCCGCTGTATTTGGCTCTTATGAACCGTCGATCCTCGAGGAGTGCCGAATTACTGATGAGAAACGGCGCCAATTTGAATTGGGCCAACAAAGACGGAACAACTCCTCTGCATGACATTTGCAAGATATTAAATGATCCTTATGACTTAATGGAGATGTTCTTCAATATCAATGACGAGTTAAATCAGCCAGTGAAAGTCGACGCCCGAGACAAATGGGGCATGACACCCCTACATTTTGCCGTAGGGAGGCACAAGAATGTGATGAAATCACTGCTGAGAAGAGGCGCCAATCCTAATCTAACCAGTTCATCGGGGTTAACGTCTTTGCACTTTATAAGCAGGAGAATATCCCATGAGGACGACCTAGCGGAAACATTCTTCAATATCAATGATGAATTAAATCAGCTGGTGCAGGTCGATGCAAAGGACAAGTGGGGCTTGACACCGCTGCAATGTGCTCTATTTTATGGCAACAAAAAGACCACCGAGGTTCTGCTGAGACGCGGTGCAGATCTTAATTTAGCCGACAATGACGGAATGACTTCTATGCACATTATTGCCAGATCAGTTCGCCTCGATAACTTATCCCAGATGATATTCGAGATCAGCGACGAGTTAAATCAGCAGGTGCAAGTCGACGTCTGGGATAAGAAGGGCCGGACACCGCTGCAATTAGCTCTACTTCGAGGCAGAAAAAAGACGGCTGAGACTCTGCTGAGACGAGGCGCCAATGCGAATTTGGCCAACCAGGACGGATGGACCCCTTTGCACAGTATTTGCAAAAATTATTGGAATGACGATTTGGCCAAGATATTCTTCGATATCAACGATGAGTTAAATCAGCGTGTGCAGGTCGATGCAAAGAACAAGTGGGATCGGACGCCGCTTCAGTTGGCTGTGGCGTATCTCAAGCCGAATACCGTCAATGTGCTCTTGGATCGTGGCGCCGATCTGTCAAGCTTCGTTTTCCCAATTGAGAGTGATTTCGACGACGGCTTTAAATTTCATGTAAAAGAGAGAAATTATGTGAAATTGTTTCTAGCATCTGGTCTGATGGCCGTCGTCGAGAGTCTCAAGAAAGGAGGCTACGAACTGGACCGAAGCGACGCTCTGATCGTCATGAAATTGTTCTCCAAGTACGGATTGTTCGAGAAGCTGACGAATCTCGGAAAATGTTGGTACGACGACGAGGAGTTCGCGACGGTAGCCCAAGAAACAATGGTAAATTCGAGGCTGTCGCTTTACGATCTGATCCAGTTACGACCCGTAGAGGCAGCAAAATTACTCACTTACGAGGACTATTACAAGTTTTCGTGTGGTTTTGGATCGAGGATATATACTTCAATTCTTCTTGAGGCTTGTGTCACACATCTATACGAAAAAATAAGTAGAAGATTTTTCTGGCGTTGGGCATTGGATCCTTTAATGGAACTGATCAATTACAGGCTGCCACATCTCCCTTGTGAAATGATCATGGATTACTTGGATAACGAAGATTTGTATCATATTTGTGTGGCAGCTTCAAGACAAAGTTAGTGCCTTTGATAAGCATATTCACAGCATTTTAATTTTAACTCTCGTATCTTACCAATAAAAACGTCCAAAGTTAGCAGTATCAATTAGTACTTCAAAACTAAAAAAGAGCCATGATAACATCACATCCAATTACTCCAAGATTCATCAACTATACTCATCAATGCATGCCTTCTACTGTGTCATCTACCTTAGCTCAGTGGAAAAAAGCACAAATGATCTCAACCGAAAGGCAGGAAAAACTGTTGCGACAACGTTTCGTCCTATTGATCAATCAGTTTAATATTATAGCTGTCAGAAAATTGAAATAGTCAACGATAAAACAAGTCAATCGCCAAGTCATCTCAACGATAGAACAAGCCAATCAAATCGCCTATCAAGTTCAAAAATCATTAGAATAAAAGCTCTTTAAATTAGCTGCTTCAAAGTTGCTCGAGTTTTCGACTAAATACCTAGAATGTAAATCTGAAAGGCAACAAGCATTACATTTTACAGTCAAATAAGATTAAAAATCTACTACCAAAGTTGCGCTCGCTCGGACGGACGGACGCTCGGTTTTTACGGGTTTACCCCTGACACCGAACGCGAATATAGATGTTTCACATCAACTAGATCATTGCTCTTTCAGGTTGTATCGTTATGTGGAGGCACACGTGCGTTCGAAGGTGCTCGATTTTCGCGCGCGCGCGCGCCTGTACGACGGCCGCCAGGCTATAGCTGCAATCAGCACTAGCTTTACAATAGGTATGGTGGATGCAAAAGCCATTATGAGACAGCAGGCTAAGAGAGTAGGAGAAAAATTATCTAATTAAAAATTGGATAGTTTAAATCTATTTGAACCCAAAGTAGTCAGTGATTGTTACAATGAATAAAAAATGGAAAAATTCGTGGAAACCAAAGAAAAAGATTAGAAAAATGAAAGCTAAATGTAAAATACTTAAAGCTGATGGTCTTTTACCATCAAACGATGACGTACCAATGCGCATGATGATTATTTGTATTGTAAAAAAAAAAGAAATAAATCTTCATTTGATATTGCTATCGCGTGAAATTTTATGTGAATTGAAGAGACATTTATATTTTTTCATAATTGGTTTACATTGTATGTATCAATAACTTTCTATTTAGAATGGTAGCGTCACTTTAATTCACAGTGAATTGAAATTTGTAAGATATATCTGTGATTTACTCGAATAAAAAAATTGTTTATTGCATTCGCTATGAAAATATGTGTAATAATGTTTCTTATGATACGTGTGTATCTTCACCATCACTTGTACTCATAAAATGATCGGTATACACATGCAGGTGTGCGTATTATAAATTATGATGTGAGATGTGTATGTAGGTTGTATAAATACGAAGTACTCTAATTTTACTTTTTTAATTTTATATTTTTTCTAAACTTGTAATCATACAATTGCTATTTATAATATGTACAAACAATTTAGTTGTTTTAATAAAGATAAGTGATCAAACACAGTAAAGAAATTATCAAAACTATAAAGATTATAGTAAAAAAAAATTTTAACACGAATTGTTGTACATAAAAGTGAGATAAGATGTAAGTATTGATGTGTGTATTGTAGTGAGTCGTGTCGCCGCTAGGTGGCACAGAGTGAAAGTGCGGTTCACGCAAATGAGTTTGTAAAGTCTGGGCGTTAAATAGACCCGAGAAAAGCTTGTATCTTCGGAGGCTTTGAAAAATTTTCTGGGAACTTTCTTCAGGGCATCCTCAAGGTTTTTTTCGATAAAATCTAGATAACTGAAATCTTTTTCATCGAATTTGTGGTGTGATTCGTGTCTGTTTGAAACACGACTGTTTCGGCATATTTCGTATCTACAATAATGAACGTGTCCACTGCACCTTCTCTAATTTTATTGGCCGCCCATTGGACAGCTTCTTCCTCCCCTGCGGTGTAATTTCTTACGACTTGTTCACTCTTGAACCATGTAAGAACCTGGGGATTTTTAGTTGGACTTTTAAAACTGATCTGATTGTT